GCGGCCTGGGCGGCCTCGAGCTCCGCCTTCTTGGAGGCGTCCTTCTCCGCCGCCGCCTTGAGCTCGGCCAGCTTCCTCTCCTCCTCCTCCTTCCGCTTCCGCTCCTCCTCGGCGCGCCGCTCCTCCTCCTTGAGGAACTCGACGCGCTTCTCGCCGCGCTCGATCAGCGGCTTGTTGTCCGACTTGCAGTCGACCGCCTTCTTGAGCGCCGCCTCGAGCGCCGGGATGTCCGTCCCGGCGACGGCCGCCTCGAGCGCCGCCTCCGCCTCCTTGCGCGCCTTGAGCTCCGCCTCGAGCGTGGCGAGCCGCTTCTCCGCCTCGTCGAACTTGGCCTTGCCAGCGGGATAGTTCGGGAGGCCGGCGTCCTTGGCGCCCTTGATGGCCGTGCGCAGCGCCTCGATGTCCTCCCCCGGTGTCGCGGCGACCATCGCCTGCAGCGCCGCCTCGCGGATCTTGCGCAGCTCGCGCGCCTTTGCGCGGGCGACGAGGCCGCGGCCCACCCGCTGGATCTCGGTGGCGATCTTGGCCTGCATCGCGGTCCGCTTCGCGCGGAGCCCGTCGAGCACGCCGGCGGCAAAGAAGACGCGCGTCTTGCCGGAGCGATACTTCTCCTTGGGCACCTCGAGCCGCTCGAGCAGCGTGTCGACCCGCTCCTTGGGCGGCTTGGGGGCGAGCTCTGCGGCCGTCTTGAGGCCGGGCACCGCGATGTACTGCGAGCTGAAGGTCTCGAAGATCATCCGGTCGGGGTAGCCCTCGCGCGACACGCGGAGCGCGTCTAGCACGCCGGACGTCTGCAGCTGCCGCATCACCACCTCGTCCTCGTTGAACTCCTTCTTCTTCTGGTCGTTGGTCTTGAAGCAGCGGACAAAGTGGAGCGCGCACTTCTCGAGCGTGCCGTTGAGGTCGTTGAGCTGCGCCGTGAAGGTGTCCATCACGCCCTTGAACTTTGGCGACTTCTTCTTGCCGCCGCCGCCGCCCGCGTCGGCCTCCTGCTTCTCCGTGAAGAGCTCCTTGAGGAGCTTGTTGTCCGCGGAGAGCATCAGCTGGACCAGGTCGCCGCTCATCGGGTCGCGGTTCTTGTCGAGCCAGGCCTTGGTGCCGTAGTTGACCTGACCGGCAAAGTGGTTGAGGCCGAAGCCCTCCTTTGGGCCGACGCCCTTCATCCGGAAGATGATGCCGCCCTTGCCGTGCGTCGCCATCACCTTCTCGGTGAAGCCCTCGTCCGTGCCCTTTGGCAGGATGCACTCCTCGGTGAGGAGGCCGAAGAGGCCCGTCTTTGGCGTCTCGAACGTCTTGATGAGGTTGGCGTTGTCGCTGTACGTGATGTCTGCCACGTCGATGCCCTCCTCCTTGTACGCCTTCATGGTCTCGGCGAAGACGGTCTTGGTGAAGAGCGCCTGCAGCTTCTCGTTGGCAAAGTTGATGCACAGCTGCTCCATCGAGTTCTTCTCGAAGATCTCGAAGCCAAAGATGTCGACGATACCGATGACATTCTTGATGGTCGCGTTGCGGTCGCAGCCCTTG